GACGAGGTCAGAATCCTCGCTGGTCTCTAGCCGCCAACTTGATTGAGGCATTGCATGCAGAAGTACACATGTCCGTTGCTTGGCAATATGTTATTTTTTGGCGAATGAGAACACCATAACAAATATAATATTTTATATTATATTATTATTATTTATTATCAATATTTTTTTATTATTTATTGTTATATTATTTATATTTTAATATTATTTATTATTATTAATGTATTAGATTAACTATAATATAGTATAGTATAACTTATTTTATTATTTTATTATTATTTATTACTAATAACTTTTTATTATTTTTATTAGATTATTTATATTTTCTTAATATTTATTATTATATAATTTATTATCAATATATTAAGTGCTAGTATTTAATATGTTATTATATTATTATGTAAGATATTTTAATTATTATATTTTTACTATTTAATAAATATTAATAATATATTAGATTAACTATAATATAGTATAGTATAAAATAATATAATATAATAAGCATGTCGATAATAACTATATATTAATTATATTTAATATATTATGTTAGATATTATATTAATACCTCCTCAAACTCAAAACCGAAACAATAAACTTAAAACACCTAAAAAGTGTTTAGAAATAAGTGTTGTGTTTTTGGTTTGACGATGATTTAGCTTAAAAAATATGATATTTTCCAAACGCATTGTGTCTTGTTTTTTATAAAAACACCATGGAAACAAGTAAAACACCATGATATCCAAAATGAACATGAGGTAATATCATCCTTTTATTTTATTTTATTTTATTACCATTGTTTATTCCGTTGCGATGTGGGCCATTCATGGGCATGTTGGGCTATCACCAATAAGACACAGATATCATTTTTTAAGTTATTATCATCCTTGACATTACCAAACCATTTATAATTTTCGGCGTCATTTGGCAACTGATTAAGTGAAGGGTTCAGGGATCAAGGAGACTTAAATTTTTTTAACTCGTCGAACACAACAAAAAATCTATACAATAATTAAAGTAAGTTAAGTATTTATAATATGCCAAATGCAAAAAATTACAGAAGAGTTAACATAACCCCTCCAAGGATGAAAATGAGTTAATCTCTTAAAATGAAGGGTTTACTAATACTAATATTTAGAGCGATTAAGCGTTAACCCTTTTATTTATAAAGAAAATAGTCAAAATTCTCGTTATTTCTAAACACTAAAAATGATAACAAATACTAAAATAAAACTTATTTAACGAGTTAATAATTTAG